ATTTTTGTTTGAATTATTGACAAAAAAATTGATTTGAAAACGTGTCTACATCAAACAAACGTTCGAAAAAATATTCGTCGACCGTTTGCTAGATATTTTTTGATGTACCGCGAACGTTTGACAAACGTTTTTAAATTGTTTGTTTGGTGTGGACGTAGCTTTAGACCTACAAAATCTAGTTTTACGTGGATATTCAAGAATAATGTTATTTTCCCATTTTTCAGTTGATCAACATTAAAAAATTTATTCAAAAATATTTCATCACCACGAAAACATTTATATATGTATGTATATATAAATATATATAAATTGACTAAAATGTGTTAATTATGGTATTTTATACAATGACTAGAATTTTAAACGATCTAGGCATTATATGAAATTCCTAAAAATATATACCTAGATAATGTATTAAATCCATTTTATGGACATTGATAATATAATATCTAAAAGTTATGATGGGTTACAGCTTTTAAAATATAATTTCGATAGTTATTTACAGGTATAAATTATTTATTTGTAATTTTCACATTTCAGTCTTCTATAAAATGTCATGTGAATAATCAATCGCGAGATATGAAACATCTTTTCAAATTTGAGTTATTAAAGCCAAAATATGATATGAAAAACAGGGTATTTTTAACTGATAAATGATATTATCAATTCATAAAAAATTTGTTTAACGCTGAATTGAAAACCAAAAAAAAAAAAATTATTTAACTATTGGTTAAAATATGTTTTTCTGGTCATTAATAATAATAATAAATTAATTTATCTTGTTAATATATAAAAATATAAATTTTTACAATAATTATATACTCAAAATTAAATATATTTTGTTTCAGCAACAACAACATTAAAAATAAATGACAAACTAAATAAAAACAATTAAAATCTCTGTTATAACAAAATTGATATGATTAATATTTACATATGCATGTATTCTGTAATAATTAGTATTTCTTAATAAATATATCTTTGTACTGATAAAATAAATTATCTTTGATATAATTGTTTAATACCATTATGATAAAAATTAAATGGATTTTCCTATTCTGCATAGTTGCCAATATTTTGTTCGACATTAAATAAAATGCCTAATAATTATATAAAATACCTAAAAAATTGTTTGTAAAAATATTAATATTATAAACGGCTTTAAAAATAGGTTAGGTATTACATAACTAACCTAGTCATTATATAAAATGCTAGAATTATACATATTTCCGCCAACATATATGACTGAAAATGTCTTCGCTTTAAACTCATGAAATTACAACTTTCAATTTAGACTTCAAAGTCATATCACATGCAATATAATATCTATAGCAACAGACCTTGCTTCGGTTGTTATGAAAAGTATATCGATTTTGGAAGAGGGGGATCTTTTTTGGGTATTATTGATGTCTGTTTTTGTTTGATATACAGTTTTAATCACCAATTTCAACTTTTCAAATATTAAAAAAGTTGTTTTTTTTAAGATCACACGTATTTTTTCTTACAAATTATGATAGGTGTAAAATATTAAAATTTTACAATAATGAATTGTTATTTTGTAAAAATGTATAAACTTATATTATAGTAACATGTTTTTAGCGAAAATTTACAAATCGTTAATCGAAATCACCGTTACTTGAATAAAATATACAAGATATTTTACACTATTGTCGATCATCATCTATAGACATTGGGTTTCCTATAAAATAATTACATTCTTGTTACATATTTCTGTATAATATTGGTTCAATGGGGTTAGTTTCTACTCTCCTCTTTTTTATAGTTTTGAGCAATAAGACTAGCTAACAAAATAAATATCTGAATTTAAAATCAATAAAATCAAATTTAAGACAATTGCAATACATGTTGTCACTACATGTAGTGACTTGATACAAAATAGTTTGAATGGACTATACCGTTTCGTGAAACAAAATAACCTATTTTAAATACCAATCACTTTTTTATATTATATTATACATATTTATTTACTAATATTTAGGGATAGGACGCGGTTTCGCTTCGACGATGCTTAAATAAGTGGTTAAGGCGAGTGGAGATCCGAGACCATTAGTTTACAACTTATACTATCAATACATATAAATATTTATATGTATAGAGTCGTGAGAAGTGGTTGAGATACTCGAATAAGTGTCGACCAAATATTAACCGACTCGAGGCCTCAACGAACAAATAAACGGAGGTAGGGTGTCTTAAGGTGATGACCAGGAAAAGAGCCATTTTATATTAAACATCAGCCGGGTGTATGATATGATAGGTCAGTCTACAATACCGAAAACCACTAGTAATTGGTTGTCGCATCGACGGTGATCACGTTGGCCATATTGAGAAGTAGAACACGATTGCGTACATTTGTCCTTTTTGGCAACATGATTGCGTGCGTTTGTAGATAAAGGTGGGTAAGAAAAATAAATAAACACGATTACGTATGAAATTGTATGCAACGTTGTCAAATTTGCTAATTTAACTAATAATAGTAAAAATATTTAAAGATTAAAAAAAAATCAAAAATCAAAAAAATCAACAAAAAAACATAAACAATAAATATAACAGCTCTATAATGGTTCATAAAAAAAATTAATAATAAAATAATAAATAAAATGAGGAAAACTAATTAAAAGTAATTAATAAATAAATAAAATCTATAGTTTTTATTTAAATGAAATTATTGTTCATAAATTACTTGAAAATGCTTAAATTTAGATTCCTTAACATCTATAACCTACTACTTTTACTGAAACTCGGAAAATACCGTATAATATAACGGAAATAACGAAATTTCGTTATATCTGATATATTTGTTATCATTAACAATAAACATAGGTAGTAAAAATAACAAAACACAAATTATTTATTAACTTTTAAAGCTATAGTAAGTATATGTACAAGACCGTATCTGGGAGGGGTCCAAGGTTTCTGGACCCCCCTCCGAAATTTCTTCAATATTTTACAAGTATTTAAAATAATTTGTTGGTAAAAATGACTTAAACTCCAATTAATCATTGACTGTTTTTAGATATTTTTATAGCGTGTAAAAATAATAATCACAGGCTTTTAACAAACACGCATAGAATATAAAAATCTAACGTGATAAGATGTCAAAGTAATTTTGTTTATTTGATTTTATTATATTTTAATAAATGAAGACTAATAAGTAGGGACAGGATTTATATGCACAAAAAATGCTGTAATATGCTATAAAATATGTATCTATTTTTAAATATGTACTTAAATATTCACTTAAAATTTTGTTTAAAATTATGTACAAATATTTGAAATGTATTATAAATATAAAAATAAGTATTAATTAATACGGTATTAAAAAAAGTATAAAAAAGCTTTTAAAATATTTTGTCGTCAAGTCGATATATATATTGTATATGACTATAATATGAGATATGAGTATGTAATCTTATCTTTGGAAATAACGACCGGTTGCAATTTTATCGATATTATGTGGCTGTGAACATGAAAATACGACGAAAACGAATATATGTGCTTTTAATAATAATATGCACTATAAAACTACAAATATGCATTGAATATGCATTTAATAGTTAAAAACGTTGAAATGTGCAAAATATGCATAATAGAATTAGTGTTATTTTAATAAGAAAGATCTAAATCGGGGACAATGCTCATCAGATTTCAAAAAGCTTATTCCAATACATATATGCATTTGCATATAAATCCATATAAATCCGGTCCCTACTAATATGTCTCATTTTTGACCAAATATCAAAAGCCAAAATTTAAATTCAATAAAATTACATTATACATGTTTTGGAACATGTATAACCTCCTCTAACCACCCCTCCCCCCCCCCGAAAAAAATTTCTAGATACAGCCTTGTATAGGCATGTAGTATACACCAATATCAGTATGAAAATTGGCATCAACGTTTAAAAGTTCGTAAGTAATAGTGTGGTTAAAAATCAGGTAACATTTTATGGAATCGTGTAGTTTAAAAAGGTATCACCGATAACGACAGTATGCAATCGTGTTTTACCCATATTGAGGTTTGCGGGATGAATTCAGTTAGAAATGGTAAACAAACACGTGGGCGCTCGTCGCCGATCGTTAACGTAAATTCACCGGTCACCGTTCTCGTCCACTGTCCTCCTCATCACTATTTTTTGCCAATCGACGTCGTTGTCGTCATTTTCAGTTCTTATAAAATGCTATTGATTGTAAAAGTTTGATCGAAGAGAACAATATTATATTTTGTCGAGATGCACCATAGTCTCTTACACCTGTGCGTTTCCGACTAGTAAACACTATTGTGGACGGCAATTTCCTGTGTATTTTTGTTTCTCGACGTATCTGTGTATTACTCCGCTGATATTTCTGGCACGAAGTTGAACAATTGGTCTTGTTCGAACTAACCGGATCTTACTTTTCTCCCGGTATCGTCTTCGGAGTAGTCCTATCACAAAATAATGGCCGGTAAGCTGCATTTTTGGGTCTCCCGTCTCCTTGTTTGTTGGTACACAGCACTGCGCGCTGTGTTTTGATTCGCCGAATAATATATTAATTGGTGGCTTTGAAAAAAGCCTTTTTGTACATGGTATATTGTTATGCACCGTAACAGACTTGTACCGGTGTACCGGTTTTTTTAAACGGCTTTTTAATTTTGAAATAAAAAAATAAACATGTAAAATGTAAAAACAATCGTAACAATCGTTTCTAATACACGGGGTGAAAAGGTAACGTATTTGGTTTTTGATTATTTAAAAAAAATAATAATAGATCAAAATTCGTTAACGCTGTTTATAGCTGCAAACATTTTAAACGATACGAACTATCATACACGTAAACACTTGCTTATCACGAATCGTATTGTAAGCGTATGACCAGAAAAAAAAATCGAGAGGCCATTACAGGCCGTATACCCACGCGCAATGCATTACACCACCAGTGTGCGTATTCTACACGTACGCGAACCGCGCATGAACCCCGGGCCATGATGAATCTCATGTACTCACCGCTTTCCTTGTGCAACTCGAACGCGGCGAGCGGGCCGTCGGTGGACGAGCAGTTGCTGTTGCGGCTGACGATCTGCATGTCCCAGCCCGGTAGCGGTCCGTTCGGCTGAGCGATCGCCTGCGTCGCCAGGTCCACGGACGGCATTATCACGCCCAGCGACTCCTCGTTCTTGGACGCCTTCAGCGGTGCTATGACCGAGAACCGCACCACGCCCGGCACCGCGGACATCGCACACCTGACCAGCCACGCCGCGACCACCACCGCCAACAGCCGTACGGGACGTGCGCCCCCCATGACCGTGCAACAGCTGGTCAGTGGCTGCTGATCGCCGACCGGTGCGCGTTTCGCGTCCACAGCACTGCACTCGTTACAGTCACCGCGAGGTCATCACCGGAGGCCATTGCGGACACAAAACATCGATCCGCACTTACGGGCCTCTACCTGCGTAATAAAATAGTATTGTTATTGATCATCACCGCCGCGGTTATATGGTTAACAATATGATATAGGCACACTGCACTGCTCTACACGTTGTTTTTTCGGCAGAATATAATACGTGATCGGAACGGCGATGGGTTTACAATTTGTTGGTAACCATCAAATCGAAACTCCCGGATAGATTACAACAGACATGTCAAATACACGACCACGGTTATTTTTTTACGGTCCGCGGCTACCAATATTGACGGACAAAATAGAAGGTTAATAGTAAAAAAAGTTATAAGACACTAATGTCATGTCGCGATTATCTTAGCTTCTTAGAGAATGTTATATCTAGACACGTCGTAGCATGACAAGCCAAGTTCTAGCTAATTTTAAAAAAATTATTTTTATTTTTATTTTTATTTGAAATCAAAAAGATTACTGGGCCTCACTGAGAAAACTCGTGAGGAGGCCTAGGTTTATCTGAATTTACAGTATTCTTAAAAAAATAATATTACATATCTAAAATATAACATGAGAGATATAAGACATAATAAAATAAAAATACAATAATATTATATGATATTGGATTATAAATTAGGAATTTAATGGTTTATATATTTTAAATTTTACCCGCACTATATTCATATTGGAGCCAATGGAAAATATGTTTTTTAAAAGCAGGTAAAGGCATATTAGCTATATGACTAGGCATTAAGTTATATATCTGAGTTCCTAAGAAACAGTATACTTTACGGCTAGAACTTTCGTAACTTTTTAAAAAAAAGTATGCAACAATTATTTGAAATAATAAATAATTAATAGAATTATAAGAAATATTTGACTTTATCTATCTATCTATCTATACTATATATAAAATTGTAAGGGTTTTTCTTAGACCGCGCTAACCGAGAAAAATACTGAACCGATTTGGCTGAAATTTTTTTTGGCTGAGACCCGACACTCTGCTGAAGGTTTTAGTACCACTTTTGTCAGTAAAAAAGTTCATAAAAGTTCATAAAAAATTAAAAACAATTGTCCCTATATTGTATATAAGTATATATATATGTACCTATACCAAACTAAAAAAGTTTATGCATGTATTAAAAAATAAATATATTTTCAGAGATGTAAATTGTTATGTTTACAGTGTTGAATGGCAAAAACGAGGTTTGCCACACTGCCACATTCTTTTGTGGTTACAAACGAAAATTCAGCCAGATGAAATTGATAAAATTATTTCTGCCGAGATACCAAACAAAGACAGAGATCCTATACTTTATGAAATAGTATGCAAGAATATGATTCATGGCCCATGCGGCAAGTTAAATATTAGATCGCCATGTATGAATAATGGAAAATGTAGTAAGAAATACCCTCACAAAATGGTCAAGGATACTCAAACTGAAGATGATGGTTATCCGACTTAACGACGGAGATCACCAGATGATAGAGGTTATACTGCAATATTAAAAGTTCGTGGTCAAACAGAAATCGTGGTTGACAACCGTTGGGTTGTACCGTATTGTCCAGTGCTATCTAGGTACTTTAATGCGCATATTAACGTAGAATACTGTCATTCGGTTAAAGCGATAAAATACATATGTAAATATATTAATATAGGATCAGATAGAGCTACTTTTTCTGTTAATCGTGAAAACGATGAGATTACAAATTATTTGAATGGTCAATACATATGTACTTCTGAAGCGTTTTGGAGAATTTTCAATTTTGAAATCCATGATAGAGATCCGACAGTTCAGCACTTGGCTGTTCATCTAGAAAATGGACAGCGTGTTTTCTTTAATGCTAATAATCTTCATCAAGTTATTGAAAATCCAAGAAAAACGACACTAACTGCATTTTTTGAACTGTGTTCACATGATGATTTTGCGAAAACACGATTCTTTCATGAAGTTCCTTCTTATTATACCTAGGATGATAGCAGAGGCTGGTTAAAGAAAAGACGGGGAAAATATGTTCCAAGTTGGCCAGGAATAAAAATAGATACAGCCATTGGTAGAATTTACACGATTCACCCAAATCAAAGTGAGTGCTTCCATTTAAGATTGTTTCTAAATTATGTACAAGGTCCTACTTCATTTGAAAGCTTGAAGGCCTTAGATTTTTTTACACTTTGACATTTTTAATCTGTCCAACAAATTTTATCAGTGGTTATGTGAAAGAGCTATTATCTCTCCGAGAAATGTAACAGCAGGAGAAATTAATGATATCATCCTTCTAAAATTCGATGGACACTCACGTGAATATCTATCTATTGATATAATTACATCAACAGATGATGCTATTCATTATCCACAAGAATTTCTCAATTCTCTTTCTCCTTCGGGATTTCCTCCTCATAAGCTAAAATTAAAAATTGGTGCTCCAATTACATTATTACGTAATCTTCAACCACCGAACTTATGTAACGGTACAAGATTACAAATAAAATCGTTGCGAAATAATATTATAGAAGCCGTAATTCTTACAGGGCCAGCGAAAGGAGAAATTGCATGTATTCCAAGAATTCCCATGATTCCCTCTGACTTGTCGTTTTCTTTCAGATGGCTTCAATTCCCGGTTAAAGTTTCTTTTGCCATAACCATAAACAAAGCGCAAGATCAAACATTCAAGTAAGTACGTACGTTGGCGTAGATCTTCGTACAGAGTGCTTTTCACATGGCCAATTATACGTGGCATTTTCTCGAACTGAGGACCCGAATCATCTTATGATTTTAATTTCAACAGGAAATATAACAAAAAACATCATATACTCAGAAGTCTTATAAAATTCTTATTTTAATTCTTTTTTTTTCTTTTTTTTTCTTCATCAACTTCAATCAAATTCTTTATCAACCATGAATTATTTCTTTTTTATCTGTATTTATTTTTATCATTTATAACGCTAGAAAATTTTCAATCCGTTTTCATTAACCGTTATTTATATTTTCTTGCCGATCACATTAAACAATAATATTTGAATAAAAAATTCTACATATCATGGTCCGAAGGCAAAATAAACAACCAATCACGGGCGAAGCTGTGGCGGGTCGGCTAGTATACATATATATAAATATATATACAAATTTAATTATAAAATTCAATTGAAGTTCAAAAATATGAATCCGAAAATCAGGGCTTAAAACTGTTCCTAATAAAGTTGATAATCAGCTCCAACAGGAGCCGAACATTTTTTACAACCGGTAACCGGTTATCGTTTAATTTTGATATTATGGTAACTGGTAACCGTTTCTTTAAGGATATTTCAAAAACTATAATAACCGTTAATTGTTTAAAAGCCGATGATAAGATTTTTGGGAATCGGTTACCGGTTAAAACTGGTTTTTAAAAATCATATTTTTCAATTTTTAATCATATTTTTAAAACCTAAAACCGTTTATTTAGGCAATTCGTGGGTTGATAATATAACTTTTATTATTAAAAAATCAAAAACTTAATATGATTTAATTTGGTCGATTTCACTCAATTTCAATATTTATTTCTTCAAACTGCTTTAAAGTTTAAAACATATTACGATCAGGATAATGATAATCAAAAACTAAATTGCATAAAAAAATGTTATTGTTATAATTTTTTTTATTTATAACGGTAAAAAACCAAAATTAAATATAATAATTTTCTAAAATGACACTAAGATTGATACATTGCCACAGAACTTTTTGGTTATATTTTATATAATACAGTATCCCAAAAAATAGATGAGCAGTTATTAAAACGACAGTATTAAAATATTATAATTACTAAATGGACTAAGCCTCTATTCCACCAACTATTTCGTAATAGGAATCAGCACACTACAACGACGTTTATGACGGTATTTATAATATATAGTTATACCTAAATATATATATATATATGATATTCACAACAAATAAGCAATACTCGACGGCTATTAATTGGGGCTATTTGGAGCTAATTAATTATAAAAAATATTTAAAAATAGCTGGAAAATTAAATTCAACTATAATAGTGTAATATAATCATGATATAATTCAAGCATTAATACCACGAAAAAACCGTTAATTATTTTAATCGAGAATAGGTTTTGGTTATAAAACCGGGATTAAAAATACGAGGTAATCGCTTTGATTTTAATATTTAGATATTCACCTTGATTACCGATAACCAATAACCGCTTCCAGCATTCCAAAATTAAAAGCAGTTATCGGTTTTCGGTTCTCAAATTTACGGTTTTTTATCGGTTTTCGTTACAAACCGGCTACCGGTTTCAAGCCCTGTCAAACAATTTTTTGGGGGGTCAATAAGAACCGCCTCTCTACGGTGGCCTCTAGGTAACTTTAAATGGTTCTTTAACTATAATTTAAACAGTTGTGTAAAAATAGATTTGGCGGAAACGACTGACTCCCCCACCAGCACCATTAGGGTTGTACACGGATGAAGTAACTTGTAAGTTACAGTCCTACACCGGTGTCAAAGTTATTTCAAAGTAACATGGCAAAAAAAAACGAAATATTTCGCACCGCAGGCGTTCCCATCTACAATTGCGTAATTTCCTGCACGATCGTAATTTGCGAAGAAAATTATCAACGAGATCGACCGCCCTAAAAGATAATGGAGCGTCCCCTTGACATAAAAATATATTTTGATACCCTCACAACACACATTAAGTCGTAAAAGTAGCCGATGTAGGGGTGCATTGTTAATCACAATGTTGTGAAGTGTGTTGTGAAATGTGTTGTTATGAACTCCGGTTTCGATTTCAGCGTATTATACACTTCTCAACCACCGTCACACTACCATGTTATAATGTGCGACATCAGTCAAGTAATACCCTACTACGGGCATACATGTAGTAGTTATAAGTATTTATTTTAATAAATCAACAATATTTAAATTAACTCATTGAAATGTATTATATTCCACAATGAATTTGTTTTTCCCTTAAACGGATCAAAACTACCAAATTCTTAAACGTCTGAACTAACCGTCCGATTAATAAACTCAAATTTAATCGGATCACCCGATAATTTATA